GGAAGAGACAGTAAACACAAAGCCTGAAGTCCAAAAACATAACCATCCTCCAAGCCACCTGAAGCTCCATGCCGCCTACTGAACTGCTGTGATCCATTATTAATATGAAAAAAATCATGGATTTTCCCTGCATCACATACATACATAAGCTCAGCTGGACTAAATCTTTAAAATAATTGCTCAGGCTACAGAACTTTGCAGGGCAGGGGCAGTAAAGAATTTATTCTAGAGAAAAAAGGCTTTGTAGAAACAAAGAAAGCTTTACAAAGATGATCTAAGTAGTTCCCCATGCAAATGGAATACTGTCCAGAGCCAGTTATCTGATGTTAAATTTAAAGATGGAAATTACATCTACTACTGTAGATGTAATTACACTAAAGGTATTTTTTTAAGGTTCAGGGCTCAGAAGATAAGTGTGCTGATATATTATTTCATACCAATTTAGTGGATATAACATTTGTGGGGTTTTTTGGGTTTTTTTTTGTTTGTTTGTTTTTCTCCAGTACCGGGAACTGGACTCATGACCTTGCGCTTGCCAGGCAGGCGCTTTTGCCGCTGAGCTAAATCCCCAGCCCCGGATATAACATTTGTTAAAGAAAGTATGTGGGCTGTTTATAAAGTCTAAGATACCAATATAAAACTTCAGTTGGATATTAACATAGAGCTCAAATTTGTTTGGAAGTGTGGTATTTGGAGAATAACATCAAATATTTCCAGAGGTGTAAGCTAGAAATTTATTGATAAACAGAAATTTTAATTATGTTTGTCTGGAAGTGATACAAAATCTTTCTCTCTGTATTGAAAGAGAAACATCAAGAAAACCTGAGCAATATAAAGGACTGAGTTTTGTTTTGTTTTCCATTGTATTTGCTGCTGCTTCTTGGTTTTATCTTTGGCTAGTGCCTGTTAGCACTAGCATTAGCGGCCCAAAAGCCTAGGAAATACTTTCAAACCTACATTGGAAAGATTCTGGATACCAATGCTACTTTTGTACTAAAAACTGGTCAAATGGTGCCACTTCTTACTTTTAGCATGAGTGGAACACACCTTGCCCCCTCTGAGGATATAAGTGCACAAGCATTTCTATATAGCATTTATTCAATCTGGTCAGTAAACAGCATTTCTTACTAATGTCCTTTTTGCTGAATGCAATTCCAGACCTTTCCCACAATCCCAGCAGTTACTGATGCTATGGGCAAATTATCTCAGCCTTGTAGGTATTTATAAAGGAGAATAACCTTCTTGCCATCCCTGCAGGCAAGCTGTCAGGACCATGACACTGCTCAGACAAGGCACCTGAAGGAGCACCCCTGAAAGCCCTCCTACAACCAGCCAGTCACCGTGGGGTTACACCTGCTTTGACAACTTCCCAAGGCAAAACTATTCCAGATTGGTACTCAGAGCTGGATGGTTTGATGGGTAACATGTTTGTGCATAGCACAGGCCCCAGAGCTGTCCTATAGAAAGTTCCAGGTATGGCTGCAGGTTCAGTCTCTGCCATCACAGGGATGCAGATGGCTGCCCATGTAGGCAAGACCTCAACCAGGCTGAACCTTTCCCTTCACACTGAGAGGAACTATACCAGCTGTTTGTAAGATTGTCAAAGAGCTTGGCTCTACCCTCACTCAGTAGCACAGAATTTCTGCAAATTGGTCAGAAATCACTAAGAACAGATGTTACTGAGTGATATGCTTCTCTGTCTTTGTTTCCTCATCCATAAAATGGGAATAATATGAGTTTTTCACCCTACAGAGTTGCTTTCAGAGATGACTGAGCTATTTTATATAACACACATAATCAGTAAGAGGCAGTTGTACCTTACAATCATTTACTATTAATTTTTAGTCACAGTATAGTCACTCCTTTATATCAATGTTCCCCATAGCTCAACATCCTCAACTTTTTGCAGTTTTCACTATTTATTTAGTATTTTTCTTTAGCTTGACTCATTTTCTTTTGCTTTAAATTTATTTTAAAGGGGGTAAATGGGAACATAGAATTGTGTCATAACTAGAAGGCAAATGTAAAAATAAATACAATGAACACAAAGCAATTTAAACTGAAGCCTGTTGCTGGTCAAAGGTGATGATTCTCAGCCTGCCTGAGTTTCTCTCCTAAAAGGCAAAATCAGAGGATGTGAGGCTGAATCCTCACCTCCAGGTAACTGGAGGCAAGGGAAGTGCTCTACCTGCAGGTCTGTCCAGCACAGGACAGACCTGGACAACACTGAACAGACCCACAGCCCCCGTGCCCACTAATGTGGTTCTAAGCAGCACTCACAGAACCTTCTGCGCTGGTGGAGGCGGTGCAGTTCTTACCATCTAACACAGCCACTACCAGTCCACATAGCTATAAAGCACCTGAAATGTGGCTGGTGTGACAAGGAACTGAACCTTCATCTTATTCAATTTTAATTAATTTAAATTTAAATATCTGCATATGGCTAGTGGCTGTGATGCTGGACAGCAGAGTTCTCTTGAGAAAGTTACAAGTCTGGGCTCTTCAAACAAACTTCTGTTCTTTTTGGAGTTATGCCCTTGGCTTCTCTCCAAGACTTTTTTGAAATTGGACAATGATTTTACAGGAAGATGTAAATAAAGACTGTTTATTACAGACATCCTTTATCATTGCTGAAGCTTAAGTTCTATAGGGAGATTTCTTTTAGAGCTCCTTTTGAGCTCTTTTCTTGTCATCAACAATGGAATTATCCAAAAATAATCACATTTCTATTTTCACATTGGCTGCAAGGGAGCCCTTAGGAAGTTTACAAGTCAATGAAAAACACCACACTGCATTGCACGACAAATATGGTTTCCAAATTTGCAAATTTCCAAATGTGCCTTTCAAACTCTTAGCTTACATTTTATGACTGATTTCATTTACCATTCTTTTCCATACATTTCTCTAGATATTATCTCAAATCTTATAGGACTGGATAGCATGCATTTTAAAAAACCTTTTAAAAAATGTCCAATGGCACCAATATTTAAATAAGTCACCTTCTATCCAGTATAACAAAACATTGCAACAAAGCCTTCCTAAAATGCTTCTAAACACAGGACTGAGACTTTGGTCTTGAGGAACCAACAAGAAACACTGTTAGCTAAAAAGAGAAGAACAATGAATGCAAGAGGTTGTGACTTTATACACTCCAGCATGGGGAGCAACTCAGAAGGTCTGTGGTGTGAGCAGAAGTTGCTGCAGGTGATGTGGCCACATTCTGGGTGCACTGGCTGGGAGAGCTTAGGAAGCTCTGAAAGCAGTGAAGGATTAGAAGACAGTGGCTTTAATGCTACTATGGCCACCATGGAAACTGTCTCTCAGGCAACAGCATATTTGCTGTGTCCATCTCACTTCAGAGGTGACTTTTAGAAACTAAAGATTGCCAAATTGCTTCATGAGGTGAAGGAGGAGGTCAATACTGAAAAGTCAAGGAAACCTCTCCAGGGTTACCACATTTTAATTTTGCTCTAAAATAAAGTTGCCAGCTTCCCTCTTTTCATCCATCTTCCAGGCAGCCTCCCAGCTTTCTGATGACCACAAAGCAGAATCTAAAGGGCACTCAGTGAGAGGTCTTTGTTTGGGTTGTTTTGTTTTTTATTTGTTTTGGTTGGCTTGGGATGAACAGAGAAAGGTTATATCTGGCAATCTGGCATATCTAATTCTCTTTTAAAACCACAGTTGAGAGCATCATAAACACTCAGGTTCTACTAACACTTATTAAAGTGCTACTATTCCTGTCTGAATATGTCAAGTAAAATGACTTTTTTACATCAGATTCTACCTCATCTATCTGTAAGATCTTAAGTAAGATTCAGACAGTATGCTTATATCTAAGACGAAACAGTGTGATCATCTGAGAAGGCTAGAAAGAATGAGTGTCTACTATGTGCTACACGTTTCTAATTTCACTGCTGTTGTATAAGATATATATTACAGTTTTAGAAGGTCTATATTATTTCCATTTTACATATGAAGAAACTAGATTTACTTAAGGTTATAAGACTAAAACCACAGCTCCTATTTTCAGGGTCAGTGTCTTTTTTCACCACTCTATTCTCTAGGAAGAATGTCTTTAAGATGAGAAGACTTATACAGTGGGTCACTCCCCACTAAGAAAATTGGCAAGAAAACCTAGGTTTTTCACAGAGTTCATGTGGGTCAAAACTAAACTTAATGAAAACTACTGTGCTTCAAAGGACAGTGGAAGCAGGAAGCAGTTCAGAGTTCATGCTGAAATGAGCAATTCCAGAACAAGAAGAAACATGAGGTTGGCAATCAGAATCCACAGTAAAAAAGAGAAAGATCAGCAGAGAAGTAGGCAGGCCTGAAAAAAGAATCAGAAAATGAGGTAAGAAAAACTGAGGTCCTTGTTGCAAAATCACCTCCAAAGAAGACATAGATCTGGACAGTCAAGTCCCAACTGGGGTGTCCACCTCTACCACAAGAAGAAAAGGAAATACCTGTGGTCTTAAATTATCAAGTATATCTGCTACCCCTTCCTTTGAAAGAGTGGTCTGATTGTCATCTGGGACATTCCCTCTTGTAACTCAGATATATGGTCAGGTGAAGTCAGCACAATTCCAGCACATGAACCAAATAGGCCAGCCACAGAAGTTTATCACTCAACCTCAAGGTTCAGGAATGGGCTCATAAGCCAAGACAGACTCAGGAGGCATGGCTCAAGATGTCACTGAAACCATCTAGCTAGGCTGAGAGACTAGCACGGGTGGGAAACATCCACCAACCTCCAAACATTCCACCAAGGATGTTGAGAAGCAGAAAGGAGAGACAGCAGCAGGCTCCTGACCACAGGGTCAGCATGCTGGAGGTCTGACCTCCCCTAGACTACACACCTTCCTTGAAGAAGGTGGGCCGTTTTGGAAGGCTGCAGCCTCCTACAGAGGTACAGGGTCCCACCAAAAAGGGTAGAGCACATGACTTAACAAATGGATACCTTCCACCTTGCTGCAATGTCTACCTGAAAACCAGGTGCTTACCTGATAAACGTGGAATGCATTTGCTGCTTTGCCACGGAGAAATACTGATGGGATCCAGACGTTGATCAGTGCCCGGTTTGATCTGACCAAAAGAAAACAATCAAAATTGATCATTTTCACTTACAAATAAAACAAAACCAAACAAAACACAGGGCAGGAAAGAATTTTCTCCTCTAAGAAGCATTCTGCATGAGCAATTTATACAACCTGCACCATACTTAATAGTAAGCCAAAGGTAAGTTTAAGTCTCAGCATTCAGCCCCAAGACAATTTTTAAGGGATTCAGTTTGAAATATATATCATTTAAACATGTAGTATGTACTTTGGAATGAGAAGAACTGCCTTTCAGTTTTTGCCCGGTGAGTGACCTTGGCCTATAATGTATGTGAAGCTCAGCTTCCACTTCTGATGACAGCACAGTGATGGGAGCTATGGGAAGCCACGCACAGTAATACCCACAGTTTCTAGAGCACCCCAGGAAGCCACACTGCCTCTTCATTGCACTGGCTTCAGACCCAGACCCCACTTTCAAGGCAACTCCACAACAGAACTCAGGAGACCAATGGTCAGGACTATGAGAGTGACAGCTCTCTGGGGTTTAGGGAGGGAAGAATAATGGGAAATAAGAAGTTGAAAAACCAGGACAACGGCTTTAAATACCCTTCTTTGGACTTTTCCAAAGATAATATGTAGGTGGGTCTAATAAAGTGAGATTTAAATTAAAATACAAGGACTAGAGATGTAGCTCCATGAGAGATCACTTGTCTAGCATATATGAAGCCCTCAGTTTGATTCCCAGCACCAAAAAAATTTACAAACAAAATGTAAAATAATTTACTGAATACCTACAATGCATGACTCAGTGTTTTCACCTATATTAACTCATTTAATTCCTCATATGGGCTATTTAAGGTATATATAATGGGATTATATTGGGTTACTTGGGTTAGGTGACAGTTACTTAGGTTATGTGACAGTTTTGCCTTACAAGGTGATTTAAAATTTAATTTAGAACTCACCAGCTACACACACACACCACCACCACCATCACACCCCACAAACAACACTACTACCACCACCACTATTACTATCACCACCAACAACCACATTTACATCTCCTAGATCTCACTCATGCAGAGCTAAAACTGTGACCACTGCTGAGCCTTTGAGGAGTATCATAACAGCTATCTGAGCAGACTGCACATCCTAGGAAACTTGGGTCTCCATCCAGAGCTGTCCTGGGCTTGGAGCATCATTGTTGATGTTAACAATGGAAGGTTCTATGAATTACTGTTCTCATAACTTATACAGTAAAAAGCATTTTATTTTTATAAGGAAAATAACCTTCCAGATAAAGTTCCCTCCTGAAACTTTCTCCTGAACTCTGGGTTAAGGTGGCAACTTCCTTTAGGGTACAAAATAAGCCCCACTGACCACGTGTCCAGGGCTCAATGCACATGCCGTAATTGTGAGCCACTAAATTTGTTTGTATCTACTGGTAGTGACATTTTACTGTAAAGGTCCCCAAAACAGTACTAGCATCTACAGCAGTGATGGTCAACTTTTTAGCACTTTCAATGATAACAAACAGCCCACTGTGGAACATGTGCAACAGATTTGCCACCACTGGTCTACAGGATTCCCCTCTTACTTCTCTGTCACAGGGGTGGGGGTGGGGTGCAGAAACGTAACACTCTGGTTTTCAGTCCTTTCCTAGATTGGTAAGATCCAGATGAGTACCCAGGGACAGTGTGGTGACATCAGACTTCTATCAGGGCATTTACCATACAGTGTATTAGAAATGACTGCTCCCATGACCATCTGCCCCCCTACATGTTCATTTCTTTGTTCATTCATATGTTTGTTAAATAGGAATCTATTCAGAGCCTACTATGTGCCACCCATAGTTTTAGGGATCAGAGACAGAGGAGTAAGAAAAGGCAGACACAGCTCCTTCCTTTAGGAGCATACAGTATAAGACAGAAGAGAGACAAATCTCCATATAAGCCACTTCACTATGGCCAAAGAAGATGGCTTAGTATGATTTCAGTGTTTAAAAACATACTAAGACATGTTTTGTAGTCTGATATACAGTCTATCCTGGAGAATCATGTGTGCACTTGGGAGGAGTGTGGCTATAATCTGGATCTAGAATGTTCCCCCAAAGTCTGTGTGTTAAAGGCTCATTCCCCAGCATGGCACTATTAGGATGCAAACTTTTAAGAGATGGGGCCTAGTGCGAAGTTTTAGGTCACTGGGGGCATATGCTCAAAGGGGAGCGTGAGACCATGGTCTCTTCCAAGCTGTCTCAGTTTCCCAGAGGCCATGAGGTGGGCTGCTTGCTCTGCTACCATAGGCTGCTCATCATGATTTGCTGCCTCACACAGGCCTAAAAGCAATGGGTCCATCCAACCATGGACTCAAACCCCAAAACTATGAGCCAAAATAAACATTTCTCTCCCTCCCTCAACCTTACTATGTAATCCAGGCTGGCCTCAAACTTGTGATCCTCCTGCCTCAGCCTCCCAAATGTTGGGACTACACGCACACACCACAAATCCTGTATGATTTTCTTTATAAGCAGACTGTTATTTTGTTATAGTGACAAAAAACTGACTAATACAAGTATGTATTTTGCAGTAATGTGTGGAGTATTCTATAAACATGTGTTTTCTCTAACTGGTTTATAGCGTTGTTTCAGCCTTATTTCTTACTGATTTTCTGTCTAGTGCTATTATTAAAAGTTGAGGACTAAAGTCTACAACTATTATTGAATTGTCTATTTCCACCTTCATTTCTTTCAATTATCATATCTTATGTTTTAAGGCTCTGATAAATGCATATATACTTAAAAAGCTGTTACACAGAAATTATTTAATTACCATTGTAAGTATCACCTAGGGATACCAGATCTAAGGAACGTAAATGCCAAGCAGGCATGCTATCAGACCAGGTTTCCCTGGGAAGTGATGCTTGGGTCAGGCTCTGAAGACAGCCAGCCGAATTGAGAGGCACCTGGGGCTGGGAAGAGGGCTTTGGGCAGGGAAACCAACATCTGGGAAGAGTATAACGTCTTGATCAGGATGACCTGAATGTGAATCCCTGCTGAAATCTATCGTCTGTGAGACAAGATCTGCCTTGAAGGCTGTGGTGGGACTGAGAGAATTAGAAAAGGCCCTGGCATGGAGAAAACGCTGGGTGTGTAGGTGAGATGAGCAACAATAATAAGGGATGGCTGGAGTGCAGGGAGGCAAGAGCGGAGATCTGGAGATGGAGCCCAAGATCCATAAGGGCCTTCATTGCAAGATCCATGCTGGACCCTGGTCTCGGTCTTGAGAGAAGGCAATGGTGCCAGTATGTCCCTCTGGCTCTAGCATAGATGAGCAAACCAGTGAAAAGAAGTTCCAGACCTCTGGAGAGAAAGGAGGTGGCCTGGGCCAGGCAAAGGCTGCTATAGGGCAGGGCCTATTCTTCTCTTCCGTCAAGGACCCAGCAAGACCCTTGCCTGTACCAGGTACCTGGGAAATTTAGGTCAATAATGAGTCTCTCCTGGCTCACAAATGACTTGTCTCTGGGATTGCCCTCTACAGCTCCCACCTCATTTCCCAACTTCTCCCGCCAGGGTTCTCCACAGGTTGCCATCCTAACAGCCTCTAAATGCTACAGTCCTAGTGTCCACAGGCCCCTTGGAGGCAAACTCACCTATGATCTGCATCCTTCACCTCTTAGCCACCTCCTCCTCCTCTCACCTAAGAGTCATCCCACCTCCATCCGGGTGGTGGGATGCCTTTGTGGTTTTCACAATTTCACTCACATTGCCACCACAGCCCTGCAAGGTTGGTATCAGGACCATCTTACCCTTTTGAATGAGGAAACTGGGTTCCACAGAAGCTAAGTGGTGTGCCCAGCGTCACACTGGTGAGAGTCCAGTGACTGAGATTCCAAAGCAGGTCAACTTGGCTCTGAAAAAACCTTCTTTCTAATGTCCTGTCCTGTTTTTACTCTCTAGAAGCAGCTGTTCTTGGATGACCCCTTCTCATCAAGAAGTTTGACTTTTTTGGGGTTTGTTTGTTTGATTTTGGGTTTTTTTGGAGACAAGGTCTCACTAGTTGCCCAGGCTGGCCTCAAACTCCTGGGTTGAAGGAATGGGAGGCTGACCCTTTTTTATTCACCTCAAATGAATGAGTGAGGAAGGAGGTTCTCTGCCTGGCCCTTCATCCAGGACTCACCCCACTTCACCACCTACTCCTCCAAAAGCCAAGGCATCCTGAACAGAAACCATCTATAGACCAATAACCTCCTTAGGAGTCATCAGCAGAGGCACCAAGAATAGTCAAAGCTAATCAAACTCAAAGCGATGCACTGACTACTGGTGTATCCATTAACCCTCAGGTTGTGACTTGAAATAGCCACACAAGCTACACAGATAGTGAACTGGGTAAAGTGGGCCAGAGTGAGGTTACAGGGGACAGTGAAGACTGTGGCAAATTGTAGAGCACAGATCTTTGTGAAAGGGCAGCTGCCTCTCAACTGACTATGGCCTTACATGGAAAATTCTGAGTTTAAAATTTTATGCAATACCTTCCAAATTTTAATTGTCAGTCAAAACCAAAAGGCTTTTAAATATCCAAGGGAAATATAAAACAGGTCAGTAGACTCGGGACCCAGGAGAATATCCTCCACTTCTATGATAACAAAATCAACCTTGTACAGACTTCACCGTAAGTTCTGTTTTCTCCTGGGGACTTCTGGGACACAGGCCAATAGCAGAGTCCTACTTCCAAAAGACCCCTCAAACCATATGTCGTGGACTTACATTTCAAAATCCGACAAACTCTGGTCTTCGGATGTTTGACTCAAATCTCCAGGCACCTACAATCAGGAGAGGGGAGGAAGACAGAAAGTGCAAAATGGTTACCATGGTTTGCGAAATCAGGGAGGATTTCTACCTCTCAATGATCCCTTAACATTTCCGGTTCAGAATGAGGTGAAAAAACAGTTACTGATTTTGTCTTGAAACCCTGTATCACTTTAAATGTTCATGCTTTGGTTCATTTATGTTTGTGAAGCTGATATGCTGCTATTGTTCTTTTGTTTTTCTCATTTACTACTCTCCCTAAAATGAAATTTTTTTTCTTTTTTTATTTCATTTTAAAAATAAAAGGAGGAAAACATTAACAAACAACATTTTACAAAATAGCAAAAGAATAGTACAGACAATACAGAGCTACAAACAAAGTGGTAGGGAATTAACAATGCTTGTTGTATTACATATTGATATCTTCAAAGTGGTTTCTCATGAAAACAGATACAGACATGCAATATTGAACAATCAAGGACTCATTGACAGTTTCTTTCAGCAAAGAAATAGAAGACAGTAGAACAACTATGTTAACTATCCTGTATATACGTACATACAAAATTTCTCCTTCTTTCCCTTCTCTTTTCCCACATCCCAGTTGCCCTTTATCCTTGAGTGTTTTCCTGTCATTTTACAATGTCTGGTAAATGGTCACAACTAGAGACTATTCTCATAAGTGAAATAAATCAGACCTGCATGTGCAAGCACCGCATTGTCTCACTAGTGTAAAACCTGAAAGAGTTAATTTAAACTAGGAGGTATGATAAAATAAAATTTTTTTAAAAAGCAGTTACTGGAAAACAATGAGAGATTTCGTGGAGGGATGGTTAGCTACAGTGCTGCAGAAATACAAATATGCTACTATGAGTGACTCAATTATCTTTACAGAAAAGGACTGTTAATCCTATTGAGATAATCACAGGCATATAAAAGGATGTAATTTTGAATTCTGTGAAGGACTAATTAGAATCTGAGATGCAAGGTATCAGATGTTTAATGGAAAAATATCCATTTTCACCACAATGAACATCATACACAGACAGGTGCATTACACAAACACCAAAGCCACCATCTACCCTCAAATGGCTCATTCACCCCCAAAAGATATGAGCAACTCAGGTCAAATGTGGTTTCTCCTGACTCAGAAGTGACATACAAGAACATGACTGGGTGACAGAAAGTGAACTGCATGATATGATGGTTGTCCACAAGTGTTGCTTGGGGGTTCTGACCCACTCTGCGGAAGTGAGTGTGAGGGCCAGCAGGCAGCCAATGGGATGCGTGACCTCAAGTAAGCAGCTACCTTCCCAACCTTGGCTCCTCCCCATCCCCACAGGGCAATTAATTCTCAGGACTGACTCAAGGATTTGCAATTATTATGTAAAGAAGATTACTAAATGTTCAGTGCTGGTAGATGCTCAATAATTGGTGATATTATTCTAATACCCAGGGAATGAGCACCCTTATCTGATGTGATTGAAACTAATTTGGTTAGCATTTTAAGACTATCAAAACTAAGAAGAATCACGTGAAACACAGAAGGGTATGCTGTAGCGAGGAAAAAAGAGAGAATGTTAATTTCACATCTTGTAACTATCAGGACCTTGAGATTATTTACAATCTTCATCAGTGTTATACCTCCCAGTTTAAAGGTGAAGGAACTAGAATTCAGGAGGGTAATATATAACTTGGCCAAGACCACACAGATAGGAAGTGACTATGAATGCAGGTTCATCCAACTTCAAAGTCTTCCCTGTTATAAACCTCTCAATAAAAAGAGAAAAAGCCAGCAAAAAGATGAAAGAGAGGGTAAATTTTGAAGAAACTCTGTCTGTAGACACTCAGAGAAACAGGGTTCTGGCTTTGGGGGCAGGAAAACAGTGGTAATGGAACCTGCCCCTGGGTCCATGCAGCTCAGCCCCATCTCTTCCAGACTGTGTGGCACTGGGCAAATCTCTTCTCTCCAAAATGTATATACTGGTATCCTCAACTATAAAATGGGTGTAACAGTACATAGGCTGCCATAAAGATAAAATGAATTACTGTCTGTAGAGGACAGAGAGCAGTGCCTGGCAATATGCAAAACCTCAGTAACTGTGTACTCTGATAATAACTTGACAGTTACTAAGAGCTGAAAGCCATGTATTCTAATATCCTTGACACTAGACACAGGACCTGCCTGTCCAGCATGCAGGGCACCTTTCACCCTGTGCACAGAAGCCAAAAGGAGAGTAACCCAGGTCGAGACCTTTACAGATGTATGCAGTTAAGTAATTCAACAGGGCTCTGGGAAGCCTGCTTTTCCTATGAAGGTGCTACTGAGAGATTCCTTCAAACCCAAGGAGAAACCCACCTCCCTGCTAGATAAGAACTCCAGTTTCCTAGGACCTCACATGTTACTGGTCCAAGGACTTGCTAGACTAGGTGTCACTCAGCTGCTACTGATCATCACTTTCTTATGGGTAGCTGGAAAGAGAAGGTATATTAGGAAGCCCTGATAATGCATTACCAACAACCCTAAAAACATTCATATCCTTTGATCTAAGAACCCACTATCAAAACTGATCTAGAAGAAACAATCAAAAGTGTCAACCAAAATTTATGTCAAAGATCCTCTCTACTTCTACTGCTTAGAGAACTAAAAAAGATTATACTCTAAAGCTCTATCTACAGAAGAATAGGTCAAGAAATTACAGCATGTCCGTAAGAGGGTGAGGCAACAAATTTTTTAACGTATTTTATGTATATGTGTAGGTATGCGTGCATTCCTAAGACTATAGGACTAAAAGTACATTCTAAAACAATCAGTAATAAACAGTAACAGTGACTATCACTGATAACAGATTAGGAGTGAGATTAGAGGAAAAGAGACTCATTTTTCACTTGCTAACTTTTTGTAAGATAAAAAGGAGATATCTTCTGCATTTCTTTTAAAAATTGTAAACATGCTCTTGAAGAACAAGGTAACTTTCTTTGTGCTTTTATGAAAAGATCACCAAGATAGACCATAAGTGAAGCAAGGGCAGGATGTGCACACAGATCTAATATACTACTTAGGATCCAGACATGCAGGAGCAAGAACATCCCATTGTCTTTGTTAGTTCTTACATCAAATAGCTGTAGAAGTGAAGTTCAAGACACTGGTAAAAAGGGTGGCCAGTGTGTGCTAGGCAGGGCAGGGCTTGGGCCACTGGTGCACAGTGCTGGAAATGAGGCTATTTGTGAACACTTTTTTTATGATAGTTAAGCATCGAAATAATGTACTAGCAATTAAAAATTTAAATAAATATGTTCCCCCCAAAAGTCTTTTTGATAAATGTTTAATGGCATAGATAAAAGCCCTGCTCTCTGTTTAATAAAAAGCAGCAAGAGACAGCAAATGTCTAATGTGAGCCTTAATTGTAATTTACAGTGTTTGCATGTGAATATGGTTGGAATGAATGAAACAACCAAAAGATGATGGTGAGCTTCCTTTAGGACAAAAGTCAAATGAGTCTGCATTAAGTATTTAGAACTTTTCAGCACTTTCTTCAATAAAGACACAGACAGATACATACTCTGTATCAATACAAGTGTGTAGCATCATATTATTAGGTAAAGTAAAATTTCCTTCCACCTCCCCTTCCCCACTCATGATGCAGAAAGCCAGATGGGAGGGACTCTGCCTTCAAACTCACTGATACATCAGGGATGGAAAAGGACGAAGCTAGGGCTCTGACACCACATAAACTTCCACACAACTCCCACTCTCCCCTGGCTGGGACTACAACTCCTTGAGTAGCTCTCAGCCACACCTCTCCTCTGAGTCTGCCCAGTACACAAGGCTAGGGAAGGTTCTTCTGGTGCAAAGCCCAGGTCTCAGGCTGGAGAAGGGACTCCCAGGCTGTCAGACACCAGCTCTGTCATAATGCAGAGTTGCCGCCTCCCTTAAATGCAGTCTTATTTCCTACAGGAAGTGAACAGAGCTTGTCCTTAGGGAGCCTTACCCATAAGCATCTGTGAGCATATGTACCCCACAGGAAGCAGCAAAGGCAGCCAAAAGGAGCAAAGGAAAAGACAAGGTGTGTTTTGAAGGACAGGCATCACTTCACAATCATAAGGAACAAAGAGCTTCATCAAAATGAATCAAATCGTGCTACCAGATGTTTTCCTGACAGATAAGTTTCCCCTCAGGGATGCTGGTTTTTCAGAATGTTTTGGACAGTGAATGTAAGTGCCTGGCAGTTGTTAAGTCTTGCTGAGGCTTTTCTTCAAATTCCGTGGCATTATTCAGATCAGCAAACCAGGATATATTTATCCGGGTGCTGGGAGGCTGCTTGGAAGAAGAGTATATGACCTTCTCAGGCTGTGAGGAACATGTCTGGTAACCAGGCCAGGCTCTACAGCAACTGCAGGGGGACAACAGAAGGCTAAGTTTACTAAACATCTTAAAACTTGGTCTTTTCCTGCTGTCTGCCTAGAGTGCTACTAGATATCCTTGGAGTTCATAGCAAATATCCACAAAGTTGATTCTACTTCATATGCTGGCAATAAAGAAGTATGGACAGAGATTATTTTGTAAGAAAAATCAACTTCCTATTGATAATAATGCAATGTCCCCTGTGACATTCTGAAGCCAGGGGAATCTTGGAGAACTCAGCTCGACATCACCTCCTCTTTTACCCCTCCATGGGGAATATAATGAAGACACTAGCAGCACACTATCTCCATTCACTTTTCACTGTTCCTGCAAAGCAAGCAGCTCCCATCTGCCTGTGGTCTGGACAGCCACAGGGCAGTATCAGGCTGCAAGGAAAGCAGAGGCCATTACTAGAGTAACAAGGCAGCCAAGATTCCTGGGTCCTCCTAGAGCAAGCACCCACCGTGCTGTGTGCACAGATGTGGAGTGATAGATGAGACCCACTCCCTGACTGACTGCATCAGCAGTGAAGTTTCTGCAATCTCTGCTGACTCAGAACTCCCTGGAGGCTGGGAGCAGGGATAGCCTCTCTCTCAGGATAATAAAGCTCTT